CAGTTGTGCGTATGTATCTTGGACCCGATGGCCCCGAAAACCGGTTCCGTCTGCATTTCACGTGACACGCGTTTCTCCTTTTTCGGGGATCTAAAGGTATACGAGACCCGCGAATGTATAAACTGTATTGCATTACGATTACCGCCGTCATTATCGTACTGTCCCGTAAACAGCAATTATAACTATCCCACAGAGGCGTATTTAATCCCATCTGTGTATCGCTGCACACAGGATACAACCCCCGTTTCACAGAATTTACTGCGTTACTCTTACGCTGCCATTTTTTACAACTACTTGCTCTCTGTTTGTGTTATAATTGGTTATCGATTGTTTCGCTATCGTGTATCACATGAAATATTTGTTAATTGCTGATTTTATTCGTTCGCGACGAGCTACATTTTATTAGCGACCCTTGGAACCATGAAAAAATTTGTTTCACTGCTAAATGGCTGAGTAATTGATAACTTTCCGCAGTAAAAAATTTCAAATCAATTTCGTTATCTTGTCGGATGAAATATTTGTTATTTTCTGAATTTTATTCGTTTACGACGAGCTGCATTTTATTAATGACACTTGAAACCTTGAAAAAATTTGTTTCACTGCTAAATCGTTGAGGAATTCAGATGCAATATTTGTTAATTTATGATTTTATCCATTCACGATGAGCTTACATTTTATTAATGACACTTGAAACCTTGAAAAAATTGTTTTCTGCAGTAAAAAATTTCAAATCAATTTCGTTATCATACTCGATACCTTATCACGTGAAATATTTGTTAATTGCCGATTTTTTTCATGTACGACGAGCTCTATTTCATTAGCGACCCTTGAAACCCTGGAAACATATTTTTCCATTGCTAAACGGTCGATAGAAAATTCACCAGCGATAGTCGTGTCACACGACGTACAACGAAAGATCAATCGAACGTCTCTCTTTCCTCATTTCCCTCGCATCCTCCAAGTGTATTCCACAAACCGTCAAATTCTCCAATTCACCGAGCGTTAAAGAGAAACAGGGTAAGA